GCCCCGGGAGCCGGAGCAGCCAGGGGAGGGGGGTGAGAGCGCTCAGTCCGCCCGCCCATGTGCCAGGGCCTCGGCCGTGGGGCAGGGCAGGGCAGCCCGGAAGGGCAGTGCGGGCACCGCTCTCCAGACCCAGCAGACGCCAGTGGGCAGCTGGCTCTTCCCTGACCCCACTTGCCACGGGGACGGTGCCCAGCGTCCCCCAGGCCTGGCACCCCCTGAGGCTGGGGTGACAGTGCCAGCAGGACCCCGTCCACAGCCCTCACCCCAGGCCGCTTCCCAAAAGGGGTGCTGGCCTGGGACTCCCTGAAGGGCCGCTCTCAGGAGGAGCACAGCCGCCCACACCGATGGGGGAGGCATTCCGGACCCCCACGGGTGTCTGCCCCTGATGGCAGCGCACCCACCACGCCCGCCTGCTCCGCGCTTCTCTGGCTTCTGTGGCGGCTCCGCATCGCCAGCCTCGCTGCTCCTGTGTTTTGGGGCGTCATTAAGGAAAACAGGGGCCACATGCACACAGCACGGTGACACCCTGACAGCCGATCTCATCACCGACAGCGACTCAGTGACTAGCGGTGGGAGCGTCTGCAGGGGGAGATGGGACGGGGAGCCCATCCCTGTGGGACCAGCGGGACCCGGGAGGTCCCATCACTGCACAGGCAGGTCACTCCGGGCCATGGACATGCAACCTCACGCCTGTGTCATCCTATTCGCACGCCACCCCTGCACTCAGAGGGGAAAAGGGGTTATGTACTACATGTATGCACATGCACATGTGTATGAGTGTGTGCATGTGTGTGCGTGTGAGTATGTGCATGTGAGTGTGTGCGTGAGTGCGTGTTTGTGCACATGTGCGCGTTTGTGTGCGAGTGTGTGTGTGCGAGTGTGTGTGTGGTGTGTGTGTGTGTGTGTGCGGGCGTGGTTGGGGTTTTTGCGACAATTTGAAGGTAACCCCTGGCCCTGGACCCGGAGCTGCCAGGCAGCCCGGCCCACCCTTTCCCACCGGAAGTCCCGCCGTCGTAGCCTCTAACGTAGCAGGTGGACTTTTCCTGTAAAGGGCAAGACAGGGAGTACTTGAGGCTTAAGAATAATATGAACATGTGACAATGAATTCGAACGTCACTGTGTATAAATAAAGTTTTATTGGAACATGGTGGCTTTCATCATGGATCAGCCTCTGAGCCCCAGAGCAGGGTCGGCAGACACCGGCCGGGACGCGGACGCCCAGCCTTCTAGCATCTGCCGTTGGAGAAAGATGTCGCCGCCTCCCCGGCTCTGTCCAGTAATGTTAGTGCTTCATCCGCCAGCAAGCCCGGCCGTGGCTCAGGGGTGAGCATCGACCTACGAACCAGGTCAGGTTCGATTCCCGGTCAGGGCACAGGCCGTGCAGGAGGCAGCCAATCCATGGTTCTCTCTCATCATCGATGTTTCTCTCTCCCTCTCCCTTCCTCTCTGAAATCAATAAAAATATATTTTTAAAACCCACCAGCGGTGACCGCGTGTGTCCTGGCGACAGTGCAGCTGCTTGGCTGGACGGTGGCCGCCTGCTCTCCGGGAAGAGGGGCCGCGGCCCCCGTGCCTGCGGTCGCCGTGGGTGTGGTGATGGCACCAGGAAAGCGTGGGGACAGGCGGTGTGATCGCTCAATTGGTGTGAATGGTAATCGTGTCACCGTGTAGACGGGAACCTCAATAAATACGGAAATCGAAGCCGCCCTCCGGTTTATGAGGAATGTGCTGCGGACACCGGAAAGGTCCTGTGGTCGTGTCCGGCTTTTCCAGGTCCGGTGACGCCACGGAGTCTCCTTCACAGAAGGTACGAGTGAGCCAGGCCGGGGCCGGCACCGCGCTCAGTAGAAGGGGCCCGCGCTCCGCGGCACCGACGCGTCCAGGCCGCTGTTCATCCATATTTCCTGGATGATCTGCTCCCTGCGCTCGATCCTCTCCGCCAGCTCCGCGGCCTCGATGGACGTGTACGCGGGGTACGGAGTCCTGCGGAACCCCGACAGCTCCCCGGGGAAGCTGGAGGCGGAGGAGTCCTCGCTCCCCTCTGTGTCCTCGCTGTCCTCCGAGGC